CAAATGGTATTTCTATTTCCAACTTTTTGAGAAAGTGCCATACTGCCTTCCAGAGTGGTTGCACCATTTTACACTCCCATCAACAGTGAATAACGGTTCCAATTTCTTCACAACCTCACCAGTATTTGTTGTTTGCTGCTCTGTTGAACTTTGCTTTTGTTAGCAGGATGAGATAATATCTCATAGCTTTTTGATTTGCATCTCTCTGAGAGCTAAAGACTGTGAATATTTCTTCATGTGTTTCTTCACCATCTGAATGTCTTCTTCTTTGGTGAAGTTTATATCCTGTGCCCACTTTGTGATCGGGTTGTTTACCTTTATCTTGTTGAGGCGCTGGAGTATTCTATAAATTCTAGAAATAAGTCCCTTATCAGACATGTCATTACCAAATATTTCCCCCCGGTCTGTGGCTTTTCTTTTTACCTTGTTGGAAAAGTTTTTGGATGTGCAGAGGGATTTGATTCTAAGAAGATCCCATTCATCTATTTTGTTCTTTCTTGGCTGTAGGTTTTTCAGGATGCTTGGGAGACAGTCCATGTGGTGTACTGGGGTGTCTAGAGTTCTTCCAAGCTTTTATCTGATGTAGTTTATAGCCCTTGGTTTTAGTCCTAGGTCCTCAATCCACTTTGAGTTGGTTTTTGTGTATGGTGTGAGGTGTGGGCCTTGCTTGAGTTTTCTACAGATAATTTTACCATTTTACCAACACAATTTATTAAAGAGGCTTTCATTTCCCCACTTAAGTGATTTCATCTCCTTGTCAAAAATCAGTTGACAATAGTTAGACTAGCTGATTGCTGAGTTTTTAATTCTATTCCATTGATCTAGGTGTCTGACATGTATCAGTATCACTCTGTCTTGACCACCACAGCTGTGTAGTAGGATTTGAGATCAGGGAGTGAGATGTCTCTCACACTGTTTCTCTTTTATAGGAGTGCTATGCTTATTTGGAGTCTCTTTCCATTCCAGATGAAATGTGAAATTGCCTTTTCCATCTTCTTGAAGAATGGAATTGGTATCTGTACTGGGATTACAATGAACTTATAGATTGCATTTGGTAGCATTGTCATTTTCACAATATTGATTCTTCCTATCCAAGAGCATGGTATATTCTTCCATTTCTCCAGGTCTTTTTTTGTTTCTTGTAGTAATGCTTTGTAATTTTCTTTTAATAGATCTTTTGTGTTTCTAGTTAGATTTACTCCCAAGTATTTAATCTTGTGATTAACTGTTGTGATGAGTATTATTTTTCTTAGCTCCAGCTCTGTATTCTCTTTGCCATTGTAGAGAAATCCAATTAATTATTGTTTGTTGATCTTGTAACCTGCCATTTTGCTGAACTGGTTAACTACATCCAGTAGTTTTCTCAGTGAGTCTTTAAGGTTTTCTAAGTATACTATCATACCATCTGAATATAGAGATAATTTTAGCTCCTCTTTGCCAATTTGGATACCTCTTATTTCCTTCTCTTGTCTTATTGCTATCACTAAGACTTCCAATACAATATTGAATAGGAGAGGTGATAATGGGCATCCTTGCCTAGTTCCTGTTCTCAAAGGGAATACCTTTAATCTCTCTCCATTTAGAATGATGTTGGTCCTTGGTTTTGCATATGTACCCTCTCCTATGTCAAGGAAATTCCCCTCTATTCTTACTTTGTTGAGTGTTTCAGTCAAGAAAGAGTGTTGGATTTTGTTAAAGCACTTTCCTGAATCAATTGATAGGATCAAGTGGGTTTTGTCCTTTGCTTTGTTAATGTGATGAATTATAATGATTCTTTTTCTTACGTTGAACCATCCCCGCATACCTGTTATGAATCCCCCTTGGTCATGGAGAATGGTGAATTTTTTTAAATGTACTGTTGGATTCTATTGGTCAGGATTTTATTGTGGATTTTTGCATCTAGAGGTTGAGGTTGTTAGCAATTACTGCTTGTTTGGATCCACAATCAACACTCTTAACACCAGCAGTCAGGAAATCAAAAGACCAATTGCACTGGGAAAATCTGCTCTCATGGACCCTCTCCGGAGTGCTGAAGAGCAACTATGTCAGTCTAGATACAAAAAGGCACCTAATCCGGTTATCATCTTCTCAATTACTTGTTATGCTTCAGAGAGTTGGACAATGACTAAGAAGAATAGATGCCTTCAAGTTGTGGTGCTAGAGAAGAGTATTGAACATGCCATGAACTACCAAGAAAAAAAAAACCGGTTCATGAGAGATATTGGCCTATAATTTTCTATTTTGGTGGTGTCTGTACCTGGCTTTGGTATCAAGGATATGTTTGCTTCATAGAATGAGTCTGAGAGAACTCCATCCTTTTCTATTTTCTGAAATAGTTTATGTAGAAATGGTGATAGACCTTGTCTGCATGCTTGATAAATTTCACTTATAAAACCATCTGGCCCAGAGCTTTTTATTTTTGGCTGGAATTTGCTTTATTCCCTTTTTAATTTCTTCTTTTGTAATGGGTCTGTTCAGGTGTTTAATTTCAGTCTGTGTTAATTTATGTAAGTTTTGAGTTTCAAAGTATTTGCCCATTTCTTTTAGGTTTTCATATTTGTTTAATTATAGTTTTTCCATAATAATCCAGTGTTAAGCTTTTTATTTAGTTGGTTCTGTTGTGACATTGCACCTTTCATCTCTTATTTGGATTATTTTTGTCTTTTCTTTCTTTTCCTTTACTAGTTTTGCTAGTGGTTTGTCAATTTTAGTCATCTTTTCAAAGAACCAACGCCTGGTTTTGTTGATGGTTTCAGTTGTTTGTTTTCTACTTCATTTATCTGCCCTAATTTTTATAATTTCAGGTTTTTTAGAGGGTGACAGGTTTTCTTACTGTTCTTTTTCATTTTATTGGAGAGTCAATTATCATTTCTTTTCTTGCCTTTTCTTGTGTTTGATCTTTGCTATTAACTGACTTCTAATTACTGTTCTATCTGTTTTCCAGAGGTTTTGGTAAGGTCTGAAGCAAAGACCTTACTGCAAAAGGTCAAAGACTGTAGTCTTCACTATGAATTGAAGCTCAACATCAAGAAGACCAAGGTTATCAGCACTGGGCCATTTGGCAGCACCATGATAGATGGAGAAGAGGCTGAGGTTGTTAGCAATTACTGCTTGTTTGGATCCACAATCAACACTCTTAACACCAGCAGTCAGGAAATCAAAAGACCAATTGCACTGGGAAAATCTGCTCTCATGGACCCTCTCCGGAGTGCTGAAGAGCAACAATGTCAGTCTAGATACAAAAAGGCACCTAATCCGGTTATCATCTTCTCAATTACTTGTTATGCTTCAGAGATTTGGACAATGACAAAGAAGAATAGATACCTTCAAGTTGTGGTGCTAGAGAAGAGTATTGAACATGCCATGAACTACCAAGAAAAGAAACCGGTCTGTCTTGGAGAGGGTAAAACCAAGTGTCTTCTTGGAGGCTAAAATTTTGAAGCTCCACCTCACATACTTTGGGCACGTGGCCAGGATAGATCGGTCCTTGGAGAAGGACATCATGCTTGGAAGGGTGGACGACAGCACAGGAGACTAAGACCCCAGATGAGATGGATTGATACAGTAACTGGGGCAATGGAGGTGGTGTGTTGGAGTTAGTGAGACTGGCTCAGGGCAGGGAAGAGTTCAGAGCTGCTGTACATACAGTCGCTATACGTCGCAGGTGACTCAAAGACACAACAACAATAACATACTATGGGAAGTTTGGAAGCAGGAGTGGCATCCACTTCCTAAACAACATGCCTCCGGAAACCATACGAACTTTGAGAAATATTCATAGTTGTAGACCAGCTTCAGGCTTTTGTTCGTAGTGTTGCTATGAGTCTTGTGCTTGACTTGAAGGCAATGTTTGGTATGAGTTGAACTGATTCTGTTACTTAACGCAAGGGGTTCTTTCCGCAGTCAGGCGCCAATAAGACAAAGGGAATGCAATATCCATAAATGCACTTTATTATGCAGATCTGGGAGGCAGCGAGTCATCTCTAAGACTGGTTTCCCATCTGGGAGTGGCCATGGCCTTATATACTAGGTTGAAACTCCAGCTCATTTAACAATGCACTTTTGTTAGTAAAAAAAGGGTAATTTCTACATCTGAAAAGGACTGTTTCTATCTATTTATCAGTAGTTCAGGAAGGCCCCAGTTCTCTTCCTGGTAAACAGACAGATTAAGATACTGTTTATATATGACTGGAGAATCAGCTTCACCAGCATCTAGGATAGATGCATTTCCTCTTCTGGTAAACAGATCAAACTACTCTATATGACTAAAGACAGGAAACAGAGAATTCAGAGGCTAAGCAACTAGTTTTGCAGGCTTAAGAAAAATAACTGTAGTTTTATAACTGATACCTATATATAGAATTCTGAACTTATTAATACCACCCTATCAATTCTATGACACCTAACAACCACATTAAAAATGCTGAGCTCAGTTAAATATCGCAGTATCTTGTGAACTACCTGTTATTTCCTACAGGGAAGATCTGAGTCCTGAAATTTAAGAAGAACCTTGCCTAAGAGTTGAGAAACTCTGTGTTGAAGCCTGGCTTATTCTTGGGGTGCAACTTACTACTGTGGTAGCTCCGTTTCTGCAGAGATGTTAAAGAAAAATAGTTGTTGTAGCACAGACAATACACAACTTTCTGAGTTCCCTTTGTGCATTAGAGTTGCGCTAACGCTGGGGCAAATAAATTGTCTTCAGGCCTTTCAACTGCAGACTAAGCAGAACAATGGCATGAAAAGCTACTTCTGAAGGGCATTTTCTGCCAGCGGAACGAAGATGTTGAGACTTTTGGATGCGGGGGGGGAACAAGAGAGGGACGGACGCCCGGCCAGCAGTTGCCTGGCAACGCCCGCAGGCGGAGTCCCAGCCTAAATAAGGTCCGGCCGAAGTGTCACTGGTCCAAAGTGGGACCTGGCAGCCCGTTCTCTCAGCGCCGGTGGTTTCCGCCCTTTGGCGGGCTAGCACAAGGGAAATGCTGCAGGAAGACTCCGATCTGTCTCTCATTATCGCTCATATTGTCCAAAAGCTCAAAGGATCCAATCTGTACTCTCAGCTGGAGCGGCAGGCCTGGGTAAGTGAGGTCGAGCGGGAAGGGAGAAAGCCGGGCGGGGCCGCGGTGATGCTGCATCTCGTTCTGCATCCGTGGGTCTGAGCGGGATCCCACTTATACCCTGTGAGGGTCAGCTCCACTGCATGCAGAAACTTCCTTTGCAGGTGCAAGCAACCAAGCACTGCTTACAGCTACAGATGTGGGGAAAAGAGGTTTTTGGGTTTTTTTTTTGTTTTTGTTTTTGTTTTTTTTTTTTTTATAGAAAGTAAAACCCCACAACTCCCTGGGATGCATCGTGCCTTTCTTCAGGCCAGAGAAATGCCAAGGCTATTCAGCAATCTATTTGTGTAATCATTTATAAGGTCCAATTATTTAATCATCTGAACTCAAAGCTTTAGACCACACCTTCCTTCACTTTTCTCTCTCTCCTGTTAGTAGGTGTAGGCGTCCAGGTAGATTTTTTACTTCGCCTCTGTCTATGCTTTTCTTGTCCTTTACTCTCCCTGTAATGATTCGTCCTTTAACCTATAACTCAGCATTTATTGAATACTATCTTTTTAATTTTTTTTAAAATTTTAATAATTTTAATGAACATTTACAGAGATTTTGGATTTCCATTCATTCATTGCTGCACTTCTCTCCCCGCCCAACCCTCCCCCCCTCCAGTTCGCATCTCTCTTTGAAAAGTAAAAGAAAAACTCCCTCCCTGGTACACAATGCCCCCGCACCCCTCCCACGATGGTGGCACGTGTTAATCAGGATATTGTTACTTTTTTTTCTGAGTATAATAAAGGGGATCATATAATTTAGACTTTTCAGCTATAATTGCAGTTCATAAATAATTAGTGATGTTGAGCATCACGTAGTTAAATATTTTTATGTTGAAGTTATGCTGTTAGGTGCCCCTCCAGTTGATTCCGACGCATGGTAATTATATGTACAATAGGAGGGAATACCACTTGGTCCATTGTTGCAGCCACTGTGCTAATCCATAACGGAGGGTCTTGATCTTTTTTTGATAGACCCTCTACCTTACAAAGCATGATGTCCTGCAGGCAGCTGTCCCCCTAGTGTGCCCTAAGTATGAGAGGAGGTATCTCCATCCTTGATTCTGGGGAAAAACCTGGTTGTACTTCTTCCAAGAAAGATTTGTCCATTCTTCTGGCAGTTAGTGGTATTTTTAATATTTGTCACAGCTCAGAGGCAGGCCGTTTGAAGCACACTCTCCTCCCGTGCAATTTATAGCCTCTAAAAACCACCTGGAGGGTCAGGTATGAGTTGGTTCCTCCTGGAGAGGTGAAGCTGGGCTGCTCCTTGGAGTCAAGGATTCTGAAGCTTCGTCTGACATACTTTGGGCATGTTGCAAGGAGGGACTAGTCATTGGAGAGGTACATCATGTTTGGGAGGGTAGAGGGAGAGTGCAAGAGAGGAAGACCCTCGATGAGATGGATCGATTCAGTGATTGGGGCAGTGGGAGTACGTTTGTCAGAGACAATGAGGTTGGCATAGGATAGAGCAGGGTTTAGGGCTGTTGTACGTAGGGTCGCTATGAACTGCAAGTGACTAGACTCCCCATAACAACAAGAAGTCTAGCTTCTAATGAATTATTTGCTCAGCATATAGATTGAATATCTGTGGAGAAAAGAATCAACCCAGACATTCCTCTTTCCTGGGTTTAAACCATGCAGTGGTCCTTGTTCTGCTCAGATAACTGCCTCTTGGTCTATGTACAGGTTTTGTATGAGCACCATTAAGTGTTACAGGATTCCTTTTCTTCTTTGCATTGAACACAAGTGAACATCTTTATAGTATTACGCTGCTTTTAGTCAAGATCTTTCTGACATCCTCAGTGATCTCCCTTGTGTGACAGCCTTTTCTGAATTCAACTGTAATTTCTGAAAGTTCCCTGTTGATGTATTTTTCCAACAGTCTTTGGATAATCTTCAGCAAAATTTTATATTTGTGTCATAGCAGTGATGTTGTATGGTAATTTCTCCACTAAAGTAAATAACATTTTTATTTTATTATTATTTTTTTAATGAAAGTTTACAGAGACTCTGGATTTCCATTCAGTCATTGTTACACTTTTCTCCCTGCCCATCCCTCCCCACCCCCCAGTTCGCTCTTCTCTTTGAAAAGTAAAAGAAAAATTCTTTCATTGTGATACAATCCTACTATTCTCCCAGTCCACTCCACTATGCAGCCTTCATTCTGGATGCCTGTCATGCCAATAATACCTAATTATACCTTTTAAACAGTTCTCTTCCTCATCTGTTTCAATGCAGTATACATAATTTAATTCATCATTCTCAGTCTCTCCCCAACCCCAATGTCAGTCCCATTTTACAACAGTGACACAATGCAATATTCGTCCTTTTGTGACTGAGATATTTCACTCAGCATAATGTCCTCCAGGGTCACCCATTTTTTTATTATTAATTTTAATAGACATTTACAGAGGTTTTGGATTTCCATTCATTCATTGCCTCACTTTTCTCCCTGCCCACCCCTCCCCACCAGCTTGCTCCCCCCTCTGAAAAGAGAAAAAAAATTCCTTCATTAGTATATAATTCCCACATCCCTTCCCCGCCACCCCCCACCCTGAGTACACTTCTCTATGCAACCTTAATTCTGGATTCCTGTGCTAACCATAATACTAAATCATATATCACCTTTAATCTGTTCTTTCCCTCATCTGTTTCAATACAATATACATAATTTATTCCATTTTTTTCTGTCATACCCCAACCCTGATGTCAGGCCCATTCTACAACAGTGGCACCATGCAGTATTTGTCCCTTTGTGACTGAGATATTTCACTCAGCATAATGTTCTCCAGGGTCACCCATTTTGAATAATATTTCATGAGTTCCTTGTTTTTCAATGCAGTGTAGTATTCCATTGTGTGAATATGCCATAGCTTCTCTATCCATTCATTTGTTGATAGATATTTAGATTGTGTAAATCACTTTTTTTAAAAAATGAGAATGAATATGAATCTCTTCCAGTTGGTTGGCAAGATCTTATACATTTCTTGGCATATACTGATGAACATTTCCAGGACTGTATCTGTTTCCTGAAACACCTCAGTTGGTAATCCATTGATTCCTGGGGCCTTATTTTTTGCCAATGCCTTCAGTGCAGCTTAAACTTCTTTCTTCAGAACTCTTGGTTCCTGATCGTATGCTACTTCCTGAAATGTTTCATTTTTTTTAATTAATTTTAATGAAAGTTTACAGAGATTTGGGGTTTCCAGTCATTCATTGTTGCCCTTTTCTCCCTACCCACCCTTCCCTCCCAATTCACTCTTCTTTTTGAAAAGTAAAAGAAAAACTTTTCCATTGTTATGCAATCCCTCCCCCCAAGACTACTCCACTATGCAGCCTTCATTCTGGACTCCTGTCATGACAATAATACCCAATCATATAGCTCTTTTAAACAGTTCTCTCCCTCATCTGTTTCAATGCAGTATATATCATTCCTCCCCTCCTTCTCTGTCTTCCCTCAACCCCCATGTCAGTGATGTCAGTCCTGTTTTACAATAATGGCCTGGAGCAATATTTTTCCTTTTGTGACTGAGATATTTCACTCAGCATAATGTCTTCCAGGGTCATCCATTTTGCATAATATTTCATTAGTTCTTTGTTTTCCAATGCTGCATAGTATTCCATTGTGTATACCAGAGCTTCTCTATTCATTCATTTGTTGATGGGCCCTTGGGTTGTTTACAGATGTTTGCTATTGTGAAAAAAAGCCACAATAAACATAGGTGTGCATATATCTGCTTTAGGGTAAATTCCCAGTAGTGGAATTGAAGGATCAAATTGTATTTCTCTTTGCAACTTTTTGAGAAAGCACCATACAGCCTTCCATAGTGGTTGCACCATTTTACACTCCCACTAACAGTGAATAAGGATTCCAGTTTCTCCACAACCTCTCCAGCATTTGATGTTTCCTGTTCTGTTAAATTTTGCTGTTCTTATTTGGGTGAGATGATATTTCATAGTTGTTTTTATTTACATCTTTCTTAGAGAGGGATTTTGAACATTTCTACGTGTGTTTGTTTGCCATCTGAATGCCTTCTATGGTGAAGTGTCTGTTCATATCCTGTGCCCATTTTTCAATTGGGTTATTTACCTTTGTCTTGTTTTGGTGCTAGAGTATTTTATAAATTCTAGCTATAAGTCCCTTGTCTGACATGTCATTACCAAATATTATTTCCCAATTGGTGGTTTCCCTTTTTACACTGTTGGAGAAGTTTTTGGATGTGCATAGGGATTTGATTCTTAGAAGGTCTCACTCATCTATTTTCTCTTCTCCTGGTTGTAGATTTTTCAGGATGCTTGAAAGACTGTTTATGTTGCGATTAGAACTTCTTGAGTTCTTCCAAGCTTTTCTTTAATGAAGTCCTTGGTTTTAGTCCTAGGTCCATGATCCACTTTGAATTAATTTGTGTGTGCGAACTGAGGTGTGGATTTTGCTTGAGTTTTCTGTAGATAGTTTTCCCCTTCTGCTTCTTTTGATGCTTCCTGCAGTATTTGGATTATTCAGTATTTTCCTCATACTATCCTTTAGTATTCCAGTCCAAGGCTTGACATTTTTCTGCTCTTTCTTTCAGCTCGAGAAATACCAAGTCTCTCCTTTCTGTTTTTCTAACTTTAATTCTTTGCACATTTTGTAAATGCATATGAATTTGCTAGTCTTTCTAGTGTCTCTTTGTTGAGGGTGGAAAAAAATATCCCACAACTATCCCTGCTCCCTAAATTCCTTGACATCTTGTTCAAAACAAATTGACAGTAGGTATGAATTAACAAAAATTTCTGTGTGTATCTAAGTGTGTATATGTAACTACAACTATACTGTTCCACTGACTGATTTGTTTGTATTATTCCATTTTCACATTTTTATTCAAAAGTGAAAAATCATGTATATGGAAATATAAAAATAAAACTTTATTCACATGTGAATCATTTCCTTGGAAAATTCTAGGTAATCTATGAAAAAGATTCTGGACCTAAAAT